CAGCGCACCCTCACCCCACACAGCGCACCCTCACCCCACACACCCCACACTCTCACCCCCACACAGCGCACCCTCACCCCACACAGCGCACCCTCTCACCCGCAGGCAGCACCAATGTGGCCCCCCCACAGCGGACGGTTCCACCTTTGGTCACCAGGTGGCGCTTTGCCGACGTGCGACAAACGGAAAAGGAATCCGATGGACTCAGGGCCAAGGCGAGCGCCCCCCGGTGGCGCTGGACCACCCGGGGCCCGGGCTGCGGGTCTGTGGGAGAGCTGGGGGCTGCAGTGGCTCCGAGCCATCCGGGAGGCGTGTCCGGCTTTCCTGGCCCCAGGACCGCAACGGCCAGTGACCCGGTCAAGACGTCGCTGACAGTAACTCAGGCGCCTCTGAGCTTTGGGAGCAGTGGCAGCGGGGCTCTGAGCATGCTGGGCGCTTGCGAGTGCCCACTGCCGGTGCCCTCTGGCCTCCCCAGAGCCGCAGCCGTGTGCAGGGTCCAGGGAAGCTCCCCTCTGGGGACCTCCCTGCCCGCTAGGTGGGCACGGGCTCGGCTGCCGGTGTGGCTGGCGGGTAACCTTTGCAATGACCCCTTAACGTGCTGGTTCCTGGAACACACCGGATGACACTGGCCACCAGTGGCGCCTGCAGAGCTCGTGCCCAGGATGCCAAGCTCAGCCTCCAGGTGGTGTGCCTTTGCCCACTGTGCCCACAATGAAGCAGTGAAATGAAATACACCGAGCTGCCGGGCACAGAGGCCCCGTGTTCTCTTTGTCCTGAGGGTGCTGACCGCTTGGCCCAGCCGTGTCTGAGCCGGCCATCTCCATTTTGCGTCCTCGGGCCCTGCCTGGATTGTCGTCATGGCACACTCCTCCCTGGCGTTGGGAAGAGTTTGTTGGCCCCAGGTGACGCCGGAGAGGCAGGCCCTGCGCCGGGGGGCAGTCCTTGCGCCGGGGGCCCGGCGGGCAGGCAAGGACAGGCGAGGACAGGCTTCCGTCTGCGGCCCCGTTGTGCCAGGGGCTTGCAGCCAAGAGGACAGACGGTCCGGTCCTCTTGTCCCCCCGAACTCAGGAGACACTGCCCCCCAGGAAAGCAGTGGGTGCTGTAGGCGGGTGCAGCGGCCGCTCCCGAAAGAACTGGGCCTGCCGTCTGGGCGCGGCCGGGCTCCCCCGTCCTCTCCACGCCACACGCTGCTCCCATGTCGCGCTCTGTTTGCAGCCTCTGGCTCTGAACTGGGCAAGCTCTTGCTTTTGCCTTAGGTATAACTGGGCGCAGGTCCCAAGGGGCCATGGCAGGCAAGCAGCCAGGCTTACCGCGAAGAACAGGCTTGTCCTTTCGGGCCTCTGGGTGGCAGCATCTCCGTCCTCGGGGCCGCTCTCGACGGAGAAGCTTCACCCCGGAGCTTCTTAGGAAAGGTGGGGGTGGCTCCGCTCCCTAAAACGTGTGGGGTTTCGGGAGGTTATGGGCCTCTGACTCCGCGTCCTTCCCCACCAGCTCAGCCCAGGGCCGGGTGTAGTCAGTTCTCGAGAAGCGACCCTTTGCGCAAGACGGCAGAGACGCTGAGGGCGGAGGGGGACGGGCGGCTTAGGGGGCTGTGTGGAGAGCACAGACATCTTTCTTCAGGCTGCCTCTGCCTCTGCTGTTCCTCTTTTCCCTGTCCTCTGAATCTACACACTTGCCCTTGTCACATTTACCCTTCGAGAGTCCAGACCGAATGTCACCACTTCCAGAGGGCCTGGGCCAGAAGCTTGCCCGAGGCATCCTTGCCCTTCTGTGGGCTCTCGCCCCCACCCCCTGTTCGTGTGGGTCGGGGCCCCCTGTGTTGGGACGCTGCTTCCCAGCAAGCCAGGCCGCGTGGAGCACCCCCAGCCCCCGGGGCAACTGCAGGCCGTGGGGGGACCAGGCCCCAAACAGGGTTTGGCCTGCTGACAGCTTTCCTACTCTTTCTTTTTTTTTGGGGGGGGGGCAGGGCAGGGGAGCTCCAAGAGGGGAGTTTATTCGAGGCCAAAGGATAGTTTTATAACGCAGGGGGTCCCGCTGCGCTCTCTTGCGCGCCGACCTGGGGCTCTGAACCTACTACCAAGTGTCAGCTCCGAGGGGTGGTGTGCGGGGCTTTGGTTCTCCCCGTCTGTTTCCCTTTTTAAGGGGTGTGGAGGAGAAGGGGTAATGCACGAAGGAACAAGCCCACCTCAACTCGGGGGAGTCGTGGACCACCCGCGGGTACCTGTGCAGGTGAACCTGGCAACGACGCTGCCCCAGAAAACCATTTCAATCCCAAAGTCACTTGGGCTTCAGCACAGACTTGCTTTGGTGTCGGATCTTCCCGCCTAATTGCTTTTTGCTTAAGCTTATTTTAGGATTGTTTTAGGCCCCAGCGTGACAGCCCCGGGAGGTGGGGCGGGAGCTGGGCCACAGGCAGGCGACTGTCGGGGTCAGCGCTTCCGCAGCGTGGCCTCCTGACGCCGCGGCCAGGGGAGCAGAGCCGGAATCAGCTTTCCGGGGAACAACTCGGCAAACCGCTTTGGAAAGCCTCACACACACGCTTCCTCTTTGATCCAGTAATTCCACTTCTAGGAATGTGTCCTGCGGACACAGCCAGACAGGCAGGCGGAAATGTCGGGGCAGGCGCTCCGGCAACCTGGCGACTGGGCCTGCGAGGCACCAACGGCCGGCTGCTCTCTCGGCTGGGGCTGCTGCCCGGGCGGACGCCCTTGTTCTCCGCGTCTCCGAGCGCAGAGGGACCACAGGGCCGCGCATGGCAGCCGGAGGGGCGCGGGAGGCGAGCCTGGCAGGCGGGCCCTGAGGGCCGCCTGTGGGCTTCCCCCAGCGGCGAGATTATGGCTGATTTTGTACTTTTCGGTGATTTTCCAGCCTTCTGCTAGGACCCGTGTCCTCTGCCCTTAGAAGAGGCAGCTGGCATATTTGTGATGCAAAGTGTGGCCACGAGACCCACAGAGTGGGTATCTGAGCGCACCGCTGCGGGTCGTGGGTGTTTCCGACAAGGCACACTCCCGGGTCTGAGCGCCCGCCACGGCGCCGGTGCGTCGCCCAGGGGTGCCTCGGTCGGGGCCGCCCCAGGCCAGAGCCGCCCTCAGCAGCAGCGGGAGGAGTCGCCGAGCCCCGAGCTGGAGACCAGGTGGCCCTCTGGCGCGGGAGTGACGCGTTCTGGCCCGGGAACCTGGAGCGGTACTGGGAACTTTGGTCATCCTTAATTTCCCCACAGCATTTGAATAGTTTACAGTTCCCCTTTCTTATTGCCTCATCATCATCAATTCAGAAGTGCAAAGCCAGACACCTGGGTGGGGCCAGAGCGAAGGACCTGACCGTGGGCTGGGCCAGCCTTTGCGGACCCCCAGGCAGCGCCCAGTTCACCCCACGGTGGGAGTGTGGGGGTGAAGGCCCCCTGAGCCTTTGCGGACCCCCAGGCAGCGCCTGGCGCAGCCCACATGGGCTACAGGGGTACCCGTCCTCGCCTCCGAGGGGCTCAGAGTAGAAGCGGGGGGCATCTCTTTCACGTGCCTTGTTCCAGACCTCTGGCTTCACTCCTGCCGCACTGGGTCCCCGGGGCGGAGGCCAGAGGAGAAGCCTGGTGGGGTGAAGGTGGCCGGGGGTGGCTGGGACCCTGGGGGCAGTTGGGGTCTGCATTCGGTGTCCACATTTTGAGTGCTGCCGCGAAGAACTTCACAGAGTGGGAAAGAGCAGACAACCTAGCTCCTTTGCCGCCCCTGGCTGTGACCTTGAGAGCTCCGTCCCCGGAGGGATCTCGTAGCCTCCTCACCAGAGGCCAGTCGGGGCCGCGACCACACCCCCTCCCCTTCTCCCCGCAGTTCCCCTACGCGGCCCCGCCTCCCCAGGAGCCCGTGAAGACCCTCCGAAGCCTCATCAACATCCGGAAGGACACGCTGAGGCTGGTCAAGTAAGTGGGCGGCCGGCCGGGGCTCCTGCGCCCCCCTGCGGCGGCCCGCGGGACTGCGCTCTCCATGCCTGCTTGTGTTGGGGTCCCGTGGGGGGGCGGGGCTCACACTTTCCTGGAAGCTTCACTGGGATCTGGATCTCGCGAGGTTTTTTTTAAATTTTATTTTATTTATAATAGCTTATTTTTACATATTTTGTGCATTTTTCCATCTCAGTTGCAATCCCCTTGGGCTTCCCATCCCCAAATCACCCTGTGCCATCACCATGGTCCAGTGCATTTCCCTCCCCCGCTGTTTCTGATCCCATTCCCCACTCCACCCCCACAAAATGTCTCTGGTGTATAGCTGTTCATCATTATCACTATTTTCTCTCGCGAGGTTTTTTTAAAGAAAAGTTAGCGAACAAGAAAAGTGGGCTGAGCAGACACCGCAGCCAGGCTTTGCGGACAAGGGAGATTTGCACTTGGAGTAGGGTCTTGTTCCGTGTTAATCCACTGTCTCGGTGGCCTCCGCCCAGGGACCCACAGACGGTCACGGCTGTCGGTCACGGTCACGGTCGGTGCCGTCACCTTGTCCTGCCTGGTCCTGTCCCCACTTTGAGGAAACCAGAGTTCGGGTTTCCTGAATGTCCAGGGATGGCGACTCAGAGACAGGCTGTGCACCTGGGGGCTTCTTTCACCCTGATAATGTTTGAATATTTCGCCTGCATGGAGATTCAAGTCCCAGGCCATAAAGTCCGCCCAGTGGGTCCAGTGTGTTCCCTAAGCTGGGCGGTCCCCGCTGCCCGCTGGCTCCGGAAGACCCCCCCCCAGAAAAGCCCCAGTGGTGGCCCTCAGCCCGCCGCCCGCCCTCCTGGCCTGCGCAGCTCTTTGATGCACTGTCCCTGACGGTTTCCGACTGCTGCCGTGTGGGGTCAGCCCTGGGCCGGACACCTGTGGGCCAGTCTGGCTGGCCCCCACCTCTCGGGGGATGAGGCATCCTGCAGATGGAGCTAAGGAGGCCCAGAGCCGACATGGTCAGGCTCTGCCACTCGCCACGGAGGGACAGGCCTGGAGGGCCTGAGCCCAGGGAAGCCCGGAGCCGAGGGCAGAGTTCCTTCGGCCTCCGGGAGCACCTCCGGCTTGAGTGAGCCGGGCTCAGCTCACTGTCGGTGAGGGCGAGGGGACCCTGGGCGCTGGGCGCTGCAGGCCCGGCCGTAGTGCTCAAGGGCGGGAGCCGAGGTGGGGCTGGGTTTTCTGAGCTTATGGCAAGGGTGAATTTTGATTCTCACGTCTTCGGGCAAAGCTAGAGGGCTGGCCATCTCCTTCTGCTTCTCCAAGGCCACCAAACGGTAGTCAGAGTGTTCCTCAAAGCAGACGCCACCGACTGGCACGAGAGGAAGGGTGGCAGGCAGTTTTAGGGACAGGAAGCAGCCGAGGATGTTAACTGCTGCGGTGGGCCCAGGAGCTCAGAATCCTGAGCAAGTGGAAGGAAGAGCCAGTCCGCACGGGGACAGTCCCCAGAGGCTCGGGAACCGGTGGCACCGACCCCCCAGACATGGGGGTGCCTGGCCTAAAGAGGGCTGGCGGGAAGGTTTCCCGCCCCTGCAGTCGGGGGGGCCGTCCCCCAGAGGTGCAGGGGACCCTCCCCAGAAAGTCGAAACCAGGCCTCCCTGGCTCGGGGCCCTGGGCTAAAACCAGGGGGCTCTATGAGTGGGGCGCCTGGGTGCTTCGCCCTCCAGCCTGGCTGTGCCTCCCCTGCCCTCAGAATGCTGCGAGGCAAAGGGACCAGCGGGGGTCAGGGTGGCCGCTGCTGCCCCGAGAGTCAGGGGTCCAGCCGGGAGCAGGCCCAGGGCCAGCCCAGAACTGGCAGAGACCTTGGGTTTGAACTGGCGATGAGGCAGGTGGAAAGCCAAGCAGCTGGGGGAAAACCCAAAACTAAATCACCACAAACCCTAAGAGAAACGTGTGCGGGAAAAGAAAAATAATCACAGAGGTGCAGAGGCTGGAGCAGCGTAGCCCTGGTGATGTGGGGCTGAACAAAGGGCCGCGATACCCCACCCTGGGTGCGGCGGGGGTGTGTGTGGGGGTAACACCTGCACCCTGCGGGAGCCCAGGAGCTGTGCGCTGCGCGGCAACCCCGGCACGCAGGGAGGCAGGCTCAGGCCAAGGCGGGAGGGGACGAGGGGCCAGGTGGCACCTGCTGTTTCTGTAATCAGCCAGGGGCAACTAGTTACACAAAAAAAGCCCGAAAGCATCAGCGGCCAGTGGGCAGGGTTGCTGGGCCGGCCTGGGCCTCTGTGGGCAGGAAAGCCCCACGGCTCAGGCGCAGACGAGGCAGGCTTACAGCTCTGGTCGCTCGCCCCAGAGTCTTCATGGTTTTCCAGATGTGCGGAGGAGGGGAAGGGCCCCGGAGAGGAGGCCGGCAAGGCCAGGGTCCACTACAACGTGGAGTTCACTTTCGACACGGACGTGCGCGTGGCCATCACCATCTACTACCAGGCCACCGAGGAGTTCCAGAACGGCGTCGCCAGGTAGGCGGGCGGGCGCCTCCCGGGGGGCGGCCGGGCCAGAGCTGCGCCCCGACAGGGCTCCGGGCTCCGGCCCCAACCCTGGGGCCCACCTGGCGGTGCGGGGGCAGCTGGAGACGTGATCCTGCAGGTCCCCCCCATGCAGCCACCTTTGGGGGTTTGGGGTGATCCGAGGGCTTCCACAGTTGCCCAGCAAGCGCTCAGGGCAGAGGCAGTAAAGGAGAGATTCCTCCCTGGCACCCGGGGCCACTGGGCTACCGGAGGGCGAGGGCCAGAAGGGGCCAGGCCAAGGCCAGACAGGGTCAGGCGGGGTCAGGCCAAGACCAAGCGGGGTCAGGCGGGGTCAGGAGGGGCCAGGCAGGGTCAGGCAGGGTCAGGCCAAGGCCAGGCAGGGTCAGGTGGGGTCAGGAGGGGCCAGGCAGGGTCAGGCCAAGGCCAGGCGGGGTCAGGCGGGGTCAGGCGGGGCCAGCCCAGCAACCCTCGCCCCTCCGCCCCACAGCTACATCCCCAAGGACAGCAGCCTGCAGTCGGAGACGGCGCACTACCGGCGGGGCGTGTGCCAGCAGTTCTGCCTGCCCTCCCACACCGTGGACCCCTCGGAGTGGGCCGAGGACGAGGTCAGCAGCTGGAGTGACGGCGGGGGGTGCAGCTCACCGCAGCCTCCCGGCCAGGCCCTGAGCGGACCCCTCCCGTCACCCTCACCCCGGCACCTGGAAAGTCCATCCGCAGATGAACCGCAGCGTTCCCCGGGGGTTTTAAAACTCGAGGCTGCAAGTGACCGGACTTAGTTCCACGGCCGGAAGGCTGAGGCCTGTGGGGACTCGGCCACCAGCTCTGCCATGGCCTCTTGTGTTTCCTCCTCCCTGCAGCTCGGCTTTGACCTGGACAGAGAGGTGTACCCGCTCGTGGTCCAGGCCGTGGTGGACGAGGGAGACGGTAGGCGCCTCCTGGGGCTCGCCCCGCCTGCGGCCCCAGGACGGCTCGCCTTGGCGGGCAGCGTTGGGCCACAGGGGCCTCGGGGCACAGGCGCGGGGAGGGGTGGGCAGGCGCGCCGGGCGCTCCGGCCCCCTCAGCGGGGCCTTTCTCTCTTTCAGAGTATTTTGGCCACTGCCACGTGCTGCTGGGCACTTTCGAGAAGGTAAGAGCAGCTTCGTCGGCCCGCGTGGTCGGGGCCCTCTCTGCCTGCGGACAGCTGCTGTGGCGGCCGGAGCCAGCGGAGGTCTGGCGGGGAGCGGCGGCCCGGAGGGGACGCGGGGCCTCGGGCCTCCTCCAGCCACGCCACGGTGGCCCTGGGTCTCCCTTCTGCGAGGGAGGGTCCCCTGGGCCCCAGCCAGGCCTTGGGGAGCTGGGAGTCCGGGGCCGCCCCTGGGGCGTGCGTGAGGGAGGCGGTCGGGGCCTCGGGGCCTCGGGCCCCCCCCAACCGCCTCCCTCCTGTCCCCGCTGCAGCACACGGACGGCACCTTCTGCGTCAAGCCCCTCAAACAGAAGCAAGTGGTGAGTGTGGGGCGAGCTGCCGGCTCCCTGCGCCCCCTCCGGCCCAGCGCCCCCAGCGCCCCAGCCGTGTCCCCCTCGCCGCGTTGCTCAGTCTCAGTTCTGCCCTTTCCTCGAGACTCTTCTTTCCCGCCTCCTACTCGTTTTCTGAAACCGCCGGGGCCTGAGAGGACACGGCCCCTCCTGACCCCTGCTCCAGAATGTGTGAGACGCCCTTCTCTGGGCAGGCGAGGGGTTCGGGGACCCTTTGTTTACAACGCCAGGGCAGGACACTTCAAACAAGAGGGAAAAGTATTGTGGGAGCTCAGCCCTGGGCTGCACTCCTCCCCCGCCCCTTCCAGAACTACAGCCACCAGGGTGCCACACGCCCTCCGGGCACAGGGTGGGCCCTCCGGGCAGGCCTGAGGCCCACGGGTGCCCGAGGGTGGGAGCCCCTGGGCGGGCCGGGGTGGGGGTGCGACAGGCCGCCCCGAGGGGGGCAGACATCCCGCTGTTCCTGAGCCTCTCAGTGAGTCGGCAGTCTCAGCGGTACCCGAGGGTCAGTCTCGCCCTCCCAAGGGGGTCGCTAGGAAGAGCCAGGCGCAGTGGGCAGCGGAGGCGGACCCTGAGCCCAGGTGCTCCCAAAGCGCCGGCCTGGGCCGTGGTGCTGGCAGACTGCGGAGCGGAGGAGGGACGAAACGGGGGGCCTTCGGGGAGGGGCGGCCGGCGCTGGGGGGGGAGGAGTCGCCACAGGGAGAAACAGCAGGAGGGCCAGGAGGGCCCGCTTGGCAGCGTGGAGTTGAGGCCAGGCCAGGGGAGTGAGCGGGCACGGGCCTGGGCATAAGAAACAGGCCCCCAGGGGCCTCTTGCTGGGCACCGGGAGCCCCGCGCCGCTCACTCAGCCCCCCCCCCCCCCATACTGCTCTCTGCTCCTGCGTCTTCCTCTCGCTCCCTTCTTCTCCCCCATCTCTTCCATTCCTTTTTTTTTTTTTTGCATACAAGAATGGGGTACAGGCCAGAGGTGTGGGGGGAGTCCCCAGAGACAGAGTGGGGAGCAGAACTGGCGGATCCACTGCAGCCCACTGCCGAGGGGCAGCGGGGAGACAGGCGGGGTCTGCCGCGCCCTGGGGTCCCTCCCTGGCCGGTGGGGACAGGCTCGGGCTGCAGTGCGGTGACAGCTTCTCAGTGTTGAGCTGTAACCCGTCGCGCCCCGGGAGGCCCTGCCACGCCTGACTTTTACGCCCCCCGCCTCCCTGACGCGCGAGCTCCGCCGCCCAGTCTGTGCTGCCCCTCGGCGCGACGCCCAGCTGGTGCTGCCCGCGTGCCCGCTCGCCTTGCGCCAGTGGTGGGTGGAGTAAACATTTGACTCTCCTTGCACCTCAAAGAGAAAACATCGGTCAGTAAACTCGTCCTCTGCTAGCCTGAGCCTCTGGCTCTCACCGTGGCCCCGAGGTCCGTGGCCCCCAGCGGCGGGGGAGTCCCACGCCTACCTGCCCACGCAGTGGGCCAGCCCTCGACTGTCCCTGTTGCCTTCAGGTGGACGGGGTCAGCTACCTCCTCCAGGAGATCTACGGAATCGAGAACAAGTACAACACTCAGGATTCCAAGGCGAGTCCCTCCTGCGCCCCGGCCCGGGCCCTGCTCTTGCCACGTGAGAAGTAAGATTAGAAGTAGGGGCCAGTGGCCTCATCCTCCTGCCCCCCGGCCCCTGGGGGGACCACTGCCGCCCTCCCCGGGGGGCTCCTGGGCCCCGGCCTCGGAGGACGCGCCTGAGAGAACCCTCCGGGGTGCGCGAAGCCGGTGCAGGAACCCGGGGGGCCACCCGACGGCGCCAGTAGGGACAGGAGCGGCCGCGGTTGCCCCCGAGCGCCCCGGCCCCCGCGTCACGGCCACGCTCTGCCCGCCAGGTGGCCGAGGACGAGGTGAGCGACAACAGCGCCGAGTGCGTGGTCTGCCTGTCGGACGTGCGGGACACGCTGATCCTGCCCTGCCGCCACCTGTGTCTCTGCAACTCCTGCGCCGACACGCTGCGCTACCAGGCCAACAACTGCCCCATCTGCCGGCTGCGTGAGCGGGCCGGGCCGGGCCGTGGGGCGCTGGGCCGCGCCCGCGGGGTCCTGACCGCCCTCTCCTTCCTCACAGCCTTCCGGGCCCTGCTCCAGATCCGAGCCATGAGGAAAAAGCTGGGCCCCTTGTCCCCCACCAGCTTCAACCCCATCATCTCGCCGCAGACCTCCGACTCGGAGGAGCACTCGGTGAGCCCCGCCCCGCGCTCCTGCGGCAGGTCGGCGAACGGCAGCACCTGGCCGAGGCCGCCTGGCGTTAGCCGGCCACCAGCAAGACAGGAAGTGGGGGGCTCGGTGGAGCGGCGGGCAGTGGAGGGCTCTGACCCTGGGGTCCCCCCGGACAGGGTAGCCTGCCTCGGGTTTGAGAGCAGAGTTCTCTGTTTACGCTAATCCTTGAGGAAGGATTAGCCCGTGTCCGGCTCCGGGCCTGGGGACCCGGAGTAGGCGAGGTCATGGGGTCTCCTGGCGCACGCGGGCGTGTCAGGGCCGAGCTCTGGGCCCCACGCGCCAGCTCTGCCTGCTCCCAGGGTGCCGGTGGCGCCTTCCTGCGCCGGGCGGCTGCTTGGGGTGCCGCGGGCTGGGGCCTCAGCCCGAGGGCGCCGTAAGGGGGGTGGCGGTGGAGCAGCGAAAGAGAAGCAAACACATCAAACACCCAGAATCAGTGATAGGCGACTGCAGCTCACCGGATGAGACGCCCTGGGCATAAAAGCAAAGGGCCGCGACAGAAAGATATGGCGTGACGTAGGAGGGCTGGCCACGGAGGCAAACCCTCGCTTCATTTGTGCAAGAGCTGTTCGGAATTCAAAGGCAAACTACAAAGCGTTGAAAGAAAAAAACGCATTCACAGAAGCACAGCAGAGGAAGGGCACAGGGCTCTGACACCCTCACGGGGGCATCGTGGGCACAGGGCTCTGACACCCTCACGGGGGCATCGTGGGCACGGGGCTCTGACACCCTCACGGGGGGCATCGTGGGCACGGGGCTCTGACACCCTCGGGGGGGGCATCGTGGGCACGGGGCTCTGACACCCTCGGGGGGGGCATCGTGGGCACGGG